AGTGCGCCAGCGGGTAGACGTAGACGGTGAGCAGGCGCAGCTGGGCCTCGCTCAGCCGCCCGTAGTCCGTCAGCAGCATCAGCGTCCAGAGGGGCAGCCAGGAGACGCTGAAGAAGAGGGCAACGATGATGAGCATGTTGATGACCTTGGCCTTCCTCCGGGAGATCCTCCTCCCCTCCGGCTCCTCTCCGCCCTGGGCAGGCGCCACCGACGTGAAGAGCTTGAAGGCGATGCGGGCGTACATGACGACGATGAGGGCGAGGGGAGCCACGTAGATGTGGGAGAAGAGGACGGTGGTGTAGATCCTCCTCATCCCTGTCTCGGGCCAGGCCTCCCAGCAGGAGTAGAGAGGGTAGGAGTTGTTGTAGGTGTCCACCATGAAGTGGTGCTCCTCCCTGGTGACAGTCAGGGTGATGGCAGCGGGGCACATGATGAGCAGGGCCAGCACCCAGATGACGGCGATGGTCAGCAGGGCTTTCCTCAGCGTCAGCTTCTGCCGGAAGGGGTGGACAATGCAGCGAAACCTGGGGGAGAACAGCTCATGGTGGCTTTGGGCATCCTGGGGAATGAGGGTGGCCAGGACCCAGGGGTGAGAATGGAGGGTGAGATGGGTTGCTCTTTACATGTGTCTTTTGGTGGCAGAGCTGGGTTGGTGTGTTCATCCTGGCGTGGGGAAGGACACCTTGCTGGAATGCCCCAGCTTTGTGGTGCTCCTGGAGAGCTGTGACAGGCTCCTGACATTCCCAGGAGCTTTCCCACAATGGGAACGGCACAGGGCACCTGAACCTGCTGGAGATGATTTGCACCCCACATCCCCACGTCCCCATGTCCCCACATCCCCATGTCCCCATGTCCCCGTGCCAACGTACCTCTCCACAGCGATGGCCACCAGTGTGAAAACCGAGGCGGAGACGGACATGCCCTGCACCAGCCCGCTCATTTTGCACATGGTGTTGTCAAAGGGCCAACCTGTGAGGGGACACCATGCAGGCTGTGGGTGCCTCTGGCCCACCCAGCTCCCTTGAGGTGTCCCCATCCACTGTGTTGTTGCTGGGGTATGCTAAGTCCTGCTCCCAGCTTGTGTGGAGATAGCCTTTAATGGCATGATCCTTGAAGAAGAACCCCAAAATTGGTAAAAAAGATACACATGACACTTAGAGACTCAAGGAACGTGGTATCATTTTTCCTACCGACTTTGGGACCCTCAATCAGAAGGATTTTAATCTTGTTTCTTGACCCCAATACCAATAAATACATAAATCACACCCCAAAATCAATAAGTACAAACCCTGCCCTATGGCCTGGCTGCTGCTGCAGCTGAACCCTCCCAACTCTCTTATCTTTGGAAAGGTTAACAGGCAGAGCTGAGCCAGCATGGGAGAAGGTAAATGCAGAAAGGAGGTTTTTTTCAATGTTGCTTGGTGAAGAATGGCTGAACTTCAAACAAATATGCAAATGCAGCATTAGGGCCAAACTTATTTTACCACAAATGGCCAGAACCTCAAATAAAAATTTAAAAAAAAATCTTTCCCCTTCCTCTTCCCTGCTCACCTGTGATGAGGTTGTCCACCAGGGTGGTGGGCATGCAGAAGATGCCCACCAGCAGGTCGCTGATGGCCAGGTTGAGGAGGAACATGTTGGTGACCGTGCGCATCTGGCGGTTCTTCACCACCACAAAGCACACTAGGACATTGCCGACCACACACATGAGGAAGATGAAGGTGTAGGCCAGGATGAACATGAGGGCCACGGGGGAGGAATGCTGGTAGTACGCCAGGAAGGTGTAGTTCTCCCTCAGGAGGTGGCTGGCGCTGGAGTTGGGCCACCAGGTGCCATTGGAAGGGCCTGGGGAAGGGAAGGCAGGAAAATGAAGCTGGGAGAGAATAAAGCAATAATTCCCTTCATTTCTTAATGCCACCAGAGTGGGGGTTTTCATATTTATTCCAGTGCCCAGACTGGCTGGGACATGTCCTGCTGGACTCATCTTTGTGCCCCAACAAGTCTCCTCCTCCCTGGGTTGCACAGCTCAGGGTTCTGCAGCACCTCGGCTGAATTATTATTTTACAACATTATTGTTTGATACCATCGATATCATTATTATTTGGTACAATTATTGCTTGATATCGTTATTATTTGATATCATTATTATTTGCATCATTCTTTTAGAATTAGAACGGCCCAGAAGGCATTCTGATGTCGTGGGCCTTTTTTTTTTAGGGATGATGCAAGGAAGACAAATCCACATCCAGACACTCCAGTGCTCTGGCCTTATGGGAGCTGGATCCGTGTGGTCCCAGCCACGGCTGCCCTGGGAGCATCCCTGCTTCTCCTTGTGCTTCCAAGGTTTACAATTCCATATTCCACAAAATCTTATTCTCCCCGGCAAAGCCGCAAGAACCCGGAGAAAGGGGCTGAGGCAGAGGACACCCTCCCCTCCCCTCCCTTCCCATCTAAAGCGATAATTATCGTTCTGATCATTATCTGGGAGCTCCTGGTGGAGGCGGGGGTGGCATTTTGTCACTGGGGATTGAGCGGGGAGCGGGGCTCGGCAGCTCCCACCCTCGGGCTTCCCCAGCCGCACGCACGCAGCCGGGGATGCGGGAGGATGCCGAGCGTGGGCAGGAGCTGCCTGCAGCGCTGACGGGACTGGCTTGGGAGAATCCGGGCTGCAGTGCTGAGCCGAGGAAAGGCACATTGGAGCTTTAAGGCTGAGCCTAAGCGCCTGCAGGTCAGCCCTGGGCGGCTGGAGCATCCCCCATCCCTGTGCCCATGCCCTGCTCGCCATTTGAGGGGCTTTTCCCAGGCACCGGGACCAGCGGCTTCCTCAAGGTTCCGGCAGGCAGGAGGGCCCGATCCAGCCCCTGATACCCCAGTCCTGGGTGCAGGATTTGGGCAACACATTTCCACTGGGAATTCAGAAAGGCGCTGGTGGGGGGATTTACAGCCGACACGGGAGAGGGAGCCTCTTGGAGAGGCAAGGGAGTAGCGGGATGGAGGGGGCAAGATTCCCCAGACAGTCGGTATCAGATGCGTGAACCATCTCTGTAAGCAGGAGCAACAACAAAGACTGTAATGAGATTGCCCAAAACCTGTGATATTAAGCTTAAAACTTTGCTGGACTTTATCTTTTGGGGCTGCAGTGCAGCATGAGCAGGAGGTTGGTGTCCTGTGGAATTGCAGGTGGTTTTAAAGCAAGGTGGAAGATGGGGAAAGGAAAATAAGGGGCCGCTGAGCAGCCGGGTGGGTGCTGGATGGATGAGTGAGTGGATAGATGGATGAATGGGTGGAGGATGGATGAATGGGTGGATGGATGGACGGATGCAGGCGTCCTCAGCACTCACTGACACCTCGGACTGGTGACAGGGGATGGGGGGACCGCACGGGAGGGATGGAGCACCCGCCTTCCGTGCCCTGGGAAAGCACCGCGGGGAAAGGCTGGTCTGATGAACAGGGATGGGATGAGGGGTGGATCGCTTTCTTGGGGAATAAAATCAATCAGGTCTTGGCACTCACCTCCGCCGGCCCGAGCCGGCTCCGGGGGCTGCATCGCTGCCGTGCAGGGGATCCGCTGCCCGGGGAGGGGGCGCAGTTCGCCCCCGTCCCTCGCTCCGTGCCTCCCGCCCGGTCCCGAGCCCCGGTGCCGCCGCCGCGCCGGTTGCGGCTGCTCGGCGGCTGCAGCGGAGAAGGGGAGGGGGCGCGGGGGGAAACACCTCCCATCGCCATGGATACCGGGGGACCCGCACGCTGCCCCCCGGGTGAGGCAGCGCGGGGGCGGGCAGCACACGCCGGGCACGGAGAGGGAGGGAAGGAGCAGCTTCGCTCCCTAGGGAGGTTCGGGTCCCCGCAGTGATGCTGGCAGCTGATGGCCGGTGTCCCCAGCAGCGCTCCTGGCCATCCCGGGAGGAAAATGAGCCTCCGGACGAGTGGGGAGATCCCCCACGCATCAATCCAGCAGAGGGAGAAGCAGCGCGATGTTTAGGGATGTTGCTTCAGGCTGCTCCGCTCAACCCCAGCTCCTCCAGCAAGCCCAACATCTCTTACCATAATCTTTTACCAAAGTTTGGCAAGTCGAAAAGTCAAATATTTACAGGATTTACCATTCCTGGCTGTCCCCAACCCGCACACAGCACGGGGAAGTGTTTGTCCCTTAAATACCCATAGGAGCAAACAAGGGAGCTGTTTAAACAAGGCGTTTGGAGATAGCATCTGGGGTTTCTCCCAGGAATTTTTTTTTTTTGCAGGCAGCCAGCTGCTAAGGGCCATGGGTGTGCTTGGCAGTGGCCTCCCGGCCACCGAGAAGCCTCTCTCTCCAGGACATTTCTTTCTGGGAAGGGAATCAGCACAACTTGAGGACCCACAGCACCAGAGATGTGGGCACACACCTCTGGGGACAGCCACGGGGTGAGCAGTATGTTGGGACCCACTGGCATTGGGCCACTTTGGCTTCCACAGTAAAAAAGCAGAAGGGAAGAAAAATTTCTTGGAAAACAAGGATTTTTCCAGGAAAGTACAGCTTGGGTCTGGGAGACTCCAGCTTGGAGGCTGCAGTGAGCAGCTGTGCAAAGGGGCTTCTCTAAGGACAAGACTGGTAATTGGAATTTAATTAGACACAAACCCCTCGATGTAACAGGAAAGCATTTAATCAGGCACTTGGCACACCACCATCGTGGCAGCAATTCCAGGGAGAGCCCTTCCAGCTGCAGGGATGTCCTCCCGATGCTCTCAGGTGGGAGCTGCACACCCAGATCCCCCCAGCTCCACCCAAACCTCCCACCCCATGTGCTACAGCTCCTCTGCACCCACAAAAGGCATAAGCAGGAGATTGCCTGGCTTGGGATTTGGCAGAGCCGTCCCTGCACGGGAAAAACGAGGCACCGGCTCGGGTTTGGGACCCGCCTGGGGGCGGAGATGGGGGCGCAGCAGGGACTGAGCCGAGCCAAACCCCTGTGGGGGGCAGCCCCCCTCGGGACAGCTCGGGCACCCGGGAACGCTGCCGGGATTCAGGGATGGATGGGCTCCTCTGGAGACAGCAGCAGCTCGAAGGGAACCAGGGGCCGCACCAGCAGCCGCACCTCGGGGCCCACGGGGTTGGCTCGCAGGTTGAGGCTCCGCAGCAGCGCCATGGAGGCCAATTTGTCCGTGGGCACCTCTGGAAAGAGAGCAGGGAGGTGAAAATCCACCCTGGAGGAGTGGAGGGGTGAGAGCTCCTCTTGATGGACAGCCTGAAGCAAACCTGATACAGGATTTATATTTATATTTATATTTAGATTTAGATTTAGATTTAGATTTAGATTTAGATTTAGTTATGCTTATAGTTATAATATATATATTATATAATTAATATAGTAGAATATAATGTAATGTAATATAATATAATATAAAATAAATTATATTATATGCAACATACAACATACAACATAACATATAATATATAATATATAACATATAATATATAATATATAAAACATAATACGCAGCATATAAGTATATATAATATATAATATTTATTATTTATTATATATAATATATAATACATAATATGTACTATATAATATATAATATAGTATATAGGATATATAATACATATAATATAATATAAAATATAATTTATACTATATATTATATATTATGTATTATATATTATATATTATATATTATATAATACAATATATAGTATATGTTATATATGTTATATATGTTATATATATTATATATATAAAATACATATTTATATCTATATCTATATCTATATCTATATTTAACCCAAATTATTGGGTTAAAACATGTAAGAAATTATAGCGACATTTGTATCAGTATTTGGCATGTTTGTCATGTAAATTGTTTTATTACGGTGAGTTAGGTTGTCAGTTAATTTTGGTTGGTTGTGGTTTGAAACATTGTATTTAAAAGATTTTTGGATATGAGGCAATAAGTGGCACAGACATAATTGAGTTTTTTGGAAAGTTGTTTTGTTTGGGTGTATTTATGGGTAAAAGAAATGTAATAGTTATAGGTATTTTTGGTGGAATTGCTGTAGGAATACTACATGTAAGAGCTAAAATAATTAGTTTTTTGTTGTAATTTATTGAAATAATGGTGGGAAGGATTGAAAGTTTAAGAATTCTGCTGTTGGCTTAGAATTAAAAAAATTTGGTTTTGTTGAAAAAATGACAATTTTGGTAGGAATGCTTTTATAACAAAAATTATTTAAAAGGTGTATTAGTTTTGAAGCGGCTAATTCGAATTTTGTATTTGAGGGTATTGAGTTGGGATTATTTGAAGAATGGTTGACTGAAGGACAAATGATTGAGGAATTAATATTATTTGATTGGGTAATTGATTGTCAGGAGGTACCACTACTTGTGTTGAGGTGTGGTGGTAACTTGAGGGGTTTTTTGAGTTTAACAACAAAGGTTTGCTCTTGATGTTAAGCCTGTCTGCAGGTTTTGATCAAACAGAAAGACAGTGAAATATTAATTTATCCAACTGCTCAAATGGTTATTGGTTGGACTCGATGGTCCTGGAGGTCTTTTCCAACCTAAATGATCTCGGGGTTCTAAGGAATGTGTCAGGGAGGTGCAAACACGCAGATATGCAGTGTGGGCACTGCCCTCCAGTTCTCCCAGCTAATAAAACCCCTGCTGGGACACGGATGGGGATTCAAAGCCCCATTCCCTGATTTCCTCCCCGGTGTTGCAATGCCCAGGAGCCCTCTCCGGGCTGACAGGAAGGCTCGTGGTCTTTGCCCTTGTTGGACAGGCTGCAAAATGGCTCTGAGCCACCCACAGGCCCCCTTCTGTTCTGCAATTTCCACGAATTTGGGTGTTGTCCTTCAGAAAACACGACATTTACAAACTCTGTGTTTAAAAAGAGGGTGCAGCTCAGCTGGATGGTCCCAATGTGTATCCACTGAGGCTGATATGAAAAAACCCTAATTAAGGTCATTAAAAGGTGATGGATTTTGCTACAATTCACAATATTTGGGGCTAGCAAAGCCCACCTGTCTGATTTACCAAAACCAATTTCTTTTTTAATTTGGCCACCAGAATGACAAGAGCTTTTTCTACCCCAGCTCCTGTTTCCTCTGCCAGCACCTGGAGCAGAATTGCAGTGTTGTAATTATATCTGGTAGATGGTTATGTGATTTTTAAACCATGAAATTTATTTTATGCTGGAAAAAGACTCAAACACTTCGATGCCTTTGTTTTTTTCCCCTTTTTCTGCTCCAGAAAATGGTGATATTTTCCATACACAAATTCCCTAGGAGAGCACAGCTCATCAGGCAGAGATTCACATGAATTTTTTTAATAACTCTTCTTCATGGTGGATTTGTTCACTGCCAGTCCCCCGTTTCATTTTGCTTGGGGTTTTTTTTCCCTTTGAAGCACAAAAGTAATATATTTTGTTTCATACATCTTCCTATTTAATCATCACCTAATGCAGTGGAGAATAAGAAGTTTAATCATCCTCTCAGGCAGCATGTTCAAGTTAAAAGTGCTTTCACCCATTTTGCTTAGATTAAGGAGTTTAGTGAAGTATTCTGGGGACCAAGACCTTCCCAGGCTGGGAAGAGCTCAGCTCTGCACCTTAATTCCAGGTGAGGAGCAGTGACTCAGCCCTGGCATGAAGGGACAGGCAGGGCACACCGTGCAGCCTGTAGCTGTAGGGTTGTGCCCTGCCAGCCACAAACTCCTCCAAAAACAGCCCACAACATCCCTTGCTGCCTTCCCAATGGATGAGGCACTTGCATTTGAGCCTGAATTATTCATGCTAGCTCCACCAGTTAAGCAAAAGACAGGGAGGGAAAAGGCTTTTTTTACATAATTAAAGCAGAATGTGACATGGTCTGGGTTGGAAGGGACCTTAGAGCTGATGCAGTGCACCCTGGATGGACACAGGGACACCTCCCACTGCCCCAGGTTGGTGTAAGCCCCATCCAGCCTGGCCCTGGGCACTGCCAGGAAAGCACAGTGTCTCTGGGGCAGAATTTCTTCCCAATGTCCCATCTAGCCCCAGCCTGAGTTTGAAACCACCCCCCTTTGTCCCATCTCAACATCCTCAGGAGGACAAATTCAACCACAGCTGCCCCCAGCCAGCAGTGACCTCCCCAGCCTCAACATCATCACTTTTAAACCTTTAATCAAGGAATAAGGGAAAGAGAAGCTGAAGCTCCAGGCACCAAAACATCCCCATGGATTTGGGAGCTTTAAAAGCTGATTTGATATAACTCTAATTACCAGGGAAAGAGTTAAAAGCACTGACAGTAATATATACATAATTACAGTCCAGGGTTAAGAGCTTATTTAGATGAAAAGGGTGGCTTGTGGCACTAAATGTCTCCTTTCACAGAGCCCACAGGCTCCAGGCAGGCATGAATTAATCTCCTTTCACTCCTGTTTCCCTTTGGAAAACACCACCTACCACCTGCAGCTCGATTTGCCTCACAAGTCACTCAGCTCTTTCAGCAGGAGCTTTCAGATGGGGTTTGCAGCCCTGGCAGGAGCCTCTCAGCACCCCTGGCTTGGCCCAGGAGGACAGGCAGGACCAGCACTGGCACAGCCCCACAAACCAGGGCACTGCAGCCCTGCAAACACCAGCTCACCTGCAGGGGAACCTGTTTGGGAAGGGCTGGGGGCAGCAGGGTGATCCCCCAGGTGGTTTTTGTGTTTCCTTGGAAAACATGGGCTGAAACCCCCTGGCTTTCTGGTGTTTTCCTCTCCCCTTTCCAGAAAATGTGTGAGATAAGCTCACATCACCCATTTCTGCAGCCAGGCAGCATCATGTGCACTACTCACACATATCCCTACAACATCTTGGCTTGGACTTGTCAAATTTTACTCTTTTTTTTTTTTATTTTCCCCACATCTGGAGGGCCCCTCCCAGCCGAGGGGAGCCTGGTGGGAGGTGACCAAACCTGGCTTCTCAGGCCACCCTGTCCCCCAGGAGCAATCCAGCTTGGGTGCAGCCCTGCATGCAGCCTTTCCTCCCTGCATTGTAGCAGGGAAAGAGGCACCAAAAAGCTGCATTCCCTTCTTGCAGCATCCTGCTTCCACAAAACCAGCGGGGAAAATGCAGTTTGGAGACCAGCTCAGGTTGAAATCAGCCAACTGAACTGAAAAAGTGACGGAGGGAGCTAAAAGCGAGCCAGGAGGCAGGAGAGAGAGAAAAAGAGGGTGAGGAAAAGCCTTGTCCTTCTCTGGCTCCTGTGGAAGCAGTTTTTAATTCCAGGGTTTCTGCAGGCACAGCTGGGGAGCAGCTGATGTGAGGCTGGTAACAAACCTCCAGTTGCAGGGAGCAGTTTCCCTGCAGCAGCTGAAGCACCCCAGATAAAACAGCAAAATTGAGTGGACTCCGAGATTCGCCTCCCTGGGGCTCCGTGGGGGCTGTAGGATGCTCCAGCCTGGGCTCTTTGAAGGCTGCCTGCTAAATAAATTCACTTTTATCTGTGTACAACAGCTGCCCCTTTTGCCCAGCTTTCACAGACTCCAAAGCCTTCGGTTTTTTTCACATGAAAAATTTTCCTGCCGCTGCAGGGCTGAGGGATGAGCGGCTCTTGCCATTCTTTTAATTTAATTTTTAGGGGATTTTGTAGTGTTAAACAGCTGCTGTTTGTTCTGGGAAATGTTCAGGTGTCTTTGCTTAGCCTGGCAGCAAACATCCCGGCCCAGCATTCCTGAGGCTGGGTTCTGCAATCAGCTCTGGTTTTTTAAATGAAATCTGAGGATTTTGGGGTCCCAGCTGGAGGTGCCTCTAAGAGCTACATCCCAGCATGGTGAATGGGGCAGCTTGAATGGGGCTTGGCTCCCACTGTGCCCTGGGAGCAAATTTCCTTTCCCAGGAAAGGCAAATGGCTGAGCAGGCTCTGACTATTTAGCACCAGCCCTGGGTGATGCTGGTATAGATGGATAATGAGATGATTGGCTCTCGCAATTAAAAGATAACTATTGTGTAAATATTAAGAGAAGCTTTAGTGGTGTATAGTTATGTTATTGTGGTTTAGATGTCCTCTGTTCTCCCCACAGTTCCCTTTCCCCCCTGTATTGCTGCCATCACACAGTCAGGGCTGTCTAGGACAGGTACAAAGGAGGCTGCACATGTGCCCCTTGCATGGGGCAGGTGGGAATGGAAAAGCTTGGTGCTGAGGGGGTGGGCATGGCAACACCTGATCTCCAATGCAGTTACAAGAAAGCAGTCTGCACTGATAAATGGCAAAGAAGCCCCTCTGACAGAGGGGCCAGGGCTGCCTGATGCAACCCCCAGGGGTATAAAAGACTGAGCATCTACCTTGATGATGAACTGGCCAGGTGGTATCCACAAGGGCAGTTCCCAGAGCTGTGAACTTTTCCTTATGTGAAAAATGTGCATTTTATGATTGGCTTTTGGCAAATATTCAAATGAATATTATATGTGTTGTGTTAGAAAGTTATGCTGTATTAATTTACTTAAGTAGCGTGTTAAATACAGTTTTAGGTTATAACATAATGTTAAAATAGAAACTATGCTATCTAAGATACTTTTTTACAGAAAGGACTCGCAGCGAGATAGCAGCCACAGGACACCTGAATCTTTCAGAGAAAGAGAATTTATTGCTCCATTATCGAGTTCTTCCTGCCTCACTCAGCCCTGAAGACTCAGTCAGGATTCAGAGGAAGAAGCTGACACTGCCCAGCCAGAATCCTGGGTTTGAATGGAATTTATGCATCATGGATGAGGTGTCTGAATATGCAACAGGCTGTTGCTTTTAAGGGTTAATCCTCTGTTAACGTGGGGCCTTTTTCGGGCTTATTTTGCCCAGAAAGAGGCATCTGGACTGTCCGTAACTCTTTGTTTTTATTGTCTCATATTGTCCAAATCCTAATTGTCCAAGTTATTATTACTCTAATTATATTACTAATTTAATAACCATTTTATTACTATTAAACTTTTAAAATCTAAAAAACCCCAAGTGACTGGCGTTTTTCACACTTACGTAGTCCTTTGGTGTATTTTCATCAAGGTTTAACAAACCTCTTTACATTTCCAACGCGAGCAGTTGTTTCTCACAGTGCTAAATCGCCTTTTTCCCGGTGGGGAAAGGTTCCCCCTCACCTGCGATCTCGTTCTCTTGCAGGTCGATGGTCTCCAGGGCGGGCACGGTGGCCAGGGGCTCCGGGAAGCGCCGGAACCGGTTTCGGGAGAGGTCGATGGCGCGGAGGTGCAGCAGGGAGGTGATTTCCTCGGGCAGGCGGTGCAGGTAATTGCCTGCCAGGTTGAGCTCTGGGAAGAGAGAGAAGGGAGGTGGTGGGATGCAGAGAAAAAGCTGGGGAAATTACTAATGCACGGCTTGATTTACAGCCTCTGGCCCCCGTGGACTGCCAGGTACGTCAATGGGATTCCAGCTCCAAAAATTGGGCTTTTAAAGTTTTTTTTGCTGTTTTCTGTGGTTGCCATTGCAGATTTTCCCTGCTGGGAAGACCACGTTTAGGAGCAATGTTTTCCTAATGAAATTGGGCAGCCTTTTGCAAGCAGAGTCTGTAAGAAAATAAGGAATATTTCCTCATAAACTCAGTGCAATTACCTCGCCAATGGTCATTTGTCATGGCTTAAGGCTAGCCCCTCTGTATTCATGTGCCTGAAGCCCTTCTGAGGAATAAACAGAATAGTGGGAGAGAGGTCTTTAGCTGTGAAAAGTACCTATTTGTCACAGTTTACCCATCCACGATGCTTTCCCGCCCCAGAAATGAGCTCCTGTGGGGCCAGGAGCGGCACTCCCGGGCACAGAACCCAAATCCCGCTGTCCCAGCGCCCTTCTCCAGTGACACGGGGCTTTCTGCACTATAAATACCCACACAAGCCGCCCTGCCCCTGCTAATACCTGGTATTTATAGGTCCTGCCTTATTCAGCCTGTCCCCAGCCCTGGGGCATCTGTTCCTGCTGGGACCCAGCACAGCTCACTGCTGGAGCGATTGGTTCGCTGGTGGAGAAAAGCCCTTGCTGGGAGGCAAAGTCATTTATTTTCCCCTTCAGGGCTGGTTGTGCTGTCTAGAAAATGGAAATTGATTCCCTTTGCTGCATGTGTTTCCTTTCCCCAGCCCAGGGGTGCTCTCACAGTGGATGCTGCAGCTCCAGGACAAGGGAAGCCCCCGCAGGCACCCAGCACAGCGGCATTTGTGTGGTACTTCGTAGGAATAAAATTGACTTTAGAAGCTGCCAGAGCATCCCCAGCGCCGCCCTCAGTGCTCAATACCTTGGTGCTGGATGCTCTGGATGCTTGCATGGCCATTTTTGATCGGATTAGCCTCGGGCCGCCTTCTCTGGGCTCGGCAGGGAGGTGTCCCCGCCGTGCTGATGATCGCTCCCATCTCCTGCAGTGATTAGCTCTCATTGATGTCGCACTACGAGGACTAATTAGTCGGCACAGCCTGGATATTGTCCCGTTGTTATCCCCAGGCTGCCTTTCCTGTCCTCCTCCATCCTCAGCCCCATCCCTGGAGGGAGCTGGGGGTGCTGAGTGACCCCACAGCAGCCTGAAACCACTTTGGAAGGGTGGGCGAGAGCAGAACCAGTGTCCTCGTCCTTCGGGGGCCAGAAGGTATAACCAAAAATGGATTTTTTGGGGTCTGAACTAACGCTTGCAATGAGGTGCGAGCTCAGGGGAGACGCGTGGGTGCTTTGCCCCCTCTGCAGCCAGCCGGGGGCTCCTGGCGTGCCCCAGAGGGTTGGAAGTGGCAGTGCCTTATTACCTCTCAGCTGGCTGAAGGTGGTGACAAATCGGCTGGTGATGGACTTGAGCTCATTGTTGGCCAGGGAGATGCGGTGGATGCCCTCGGTGACGCTCCTCACGGCTTTGTAGACTCCAACAGGGAAGGACATCAGCTTGCAGTTGGCCAGATCTGCGCACGGAGAGACCCAGGCAAGGGGCTGACAACTTCAGTCCCCTGCTCCCCCCGTGTCCCCGATTCCCTGGGGGCAGCTGAGCAGCCCAGGGATGCCTATTCCACTGCTGGGGGATGGAGCAGGGATTTCCCTGGGCATTCTTGGCTGGATTTCTCATGGTCATGGCTGGTTGTCCTACGGCAAGTGGTGGGGAGGGGAAAAAAGATTTGGTTGTGCCTCTCACCTCGTGGCCTTCTTGTTTTGCCCTGAGTCGTTTCTCTTTCCCCTCCCAGGAGACTCCAGCGATGGAAACCCTGTATCCCAGCCCCAGGATGGGCTCTGCCTCCTGCCCCCTCCCCAAAGCCACTGCGGGGGCTGATGGAGCAAGTTCCATCCTCCCACGTTTCTCTCAGGAGGATGTGGAGAGCCTGAGAGATGAAGCTCCAGCTCCTGCCATACTCTGGTTTATATCCCAGGGCCAGGAATCCAGTGGGAATAAAAATGAATGGCTTTCATCTCTCTCCTTTGATGAACTGCACCCTGCTCTTGGGTATTAGCTGGAAATGGGGAAACTGCAGGAAAGCACAAATCTGACACGGCCACGTGGGGAAAAATCTGCTCCTGCCGTGCTCCCAAGGAGGGGACACATCCCGCGGGATTATGTGAACCTGCTCTGACTTTGAGGGCCCTTTGGGGGAGCTTTCCCTTCTCCGGAGCCGCGGGGAGGGAGCGCCGACAGCTTTTTTTAGCCTGTGGCAGTGAAAACCAGAGCCCTGCTCCCGGCTACCCGATCCCAGTGCGGCCCCGGCACGGAGCGCCGGGCTCAGCCCGGGAATCCGCTTTGTTCTCCAGCGGCCTTACCCAGGGAATCCGCCTTGTTCTCCACCGTGTCGTTCACCTTCCTGGCCACCCGGGCCACCGCCTCGCCCATCCTCCTGTGCAGGAGGGCGGCCGGTCCCGCCGGGAGTGCGCTGTGCCCTGGGGGATCCAGGGCTGGAGAGAGAAACCAGCCACTCTGTTCTCCGGGAGAGCGATGCAAAAAATAACCGGCGGGATCAGTGTTCCCAGGGGAGGGAGGGAGGCTGTGCTGGGGCTGGCATGTCCCTCGGGGTGAGATTCCCAGCTTTCCAGGATGGTGCTTTTGGGGTATGTAAGTGCATCCTATTCCCTGGCTTGGAATATATATCCCCTTTCCTGGTATGGGATATGGGGATGCTTCTCCTTTCTTGGTTTGGGAAATGAGGAAGCATCAGGGTGAGATTCCCAGCTTTCCAGGATAGTGCTTTTGGGGTATGTAGGTGCATCCCATTCCCTGGCTTGGGATATGGGGATGTATCCCCTTTCCTGGTATGGGATATGGGGATTCATCTCCTTTCTTGGTTTGGGAAATGAGGGTGCACCCCTTTTCCTGGTCTGAGATATTTGGATGCATCCCCCTTCCTGGTATTGGATATGCCATTTTCCCGGTTTGGGATATGGGGATGAATCCTATTCCCTGGTTTGGGACATGGGCATGGGTGTCCTTTCCTTGTGTGGGATATGGGGATGCAAGCCCTTTCCTGGTTTGGCATAAGGGGATGCAATCCATTTCTTTATTTGGGATATAGGGATCCATGCCCTTTTCCTGGTTTGGGATATGGAGATGAATGCTATTACATGGTGTGGGATATGGGGATACAACCACTTTCCTGGTTTGGGATATGGGGATACAACCCCTTTCCTGGTTTGGGATATGGGGATACAACCCCTTTCCAGATATGGGAATACAACCCTTTTCTTGGTTTAGGATACAGGAATACAACCCCTTTCCTGATATGGGATATGGGGATACAACCCATTTCCTGGTTTGGGATATGGGGACAGAACCCCTTTCCTGATTTGGGATATGGGGATAAAACCCATTTCCTGGTTAGGGATATGGGGACAGAACCCCTTTCCTGATTTGGGATATTTGGACGCATTCCTTTTCCCAGTGACTTCATTCAGCTCGGTCTAGCCAAAACATTCTGACCGAAGACATCCTGGCCAGGACACCACCACCCTTCCCTCTCCTGCCTCCCAAAATAACTCCCAAAAAATTCGTCCTTCCCACGCCGGGAGTCGAACCCGGGCCGCCTGGGTGAAAACCAGGAATCCTCACCGCTAGACCACGTGGGAGGCGCGGGCAGGCTGGCGCAGCAGCACGCCTGCCCCCTGGCGGCGGCGGGCCCGGGGCGGTCCCAAGGCCGGGGGCGGGCCCGGGGCCGGGGCGGGCCGGGGCCGGTCCCGGGGAGAGGCGGGGCCGCTCCGCCCGCCCGCTCGGCGGGGACAAAGCGCGGCGCCGAGCGGGGGCCATGTCGTCCGCAGGCGGCCGCCAGCCCAGCCAGAGCCGGGCCATCCCCACCCGCACCGTCACGCTCAGCGACGCCGCGCAGCTCCCCGCCGACTACTGCACCACCCCCGGCGGGACGCTCTTCTCCACCACGCCCGGAGGTAAAAGCGCCGCGCCCGCCGGGGCCTCCGGGGGAGCGCGCCCGGGCCAGCCCGAACGCCGCGTGTCGCGGGCGGACCGTGCGTGCCGCGCCTGTATCCCCTCTGTATGTCGTGGATACGGAGCGCTTTCCGCCCGCTCTCCTCGGCGCACACGCGTGGAGATGGGTTTGTTGTTTTTCCGGGACCTACCGGGAGCGCGGAGGGTCCCGGCGGGGCGGCAGCCGGATCCCGGGACGGGCTGGCGGGAAGCTCCCGGTGGGACGGGGGCTCGGTGCCTCGGCCCTGCCCCGGCCCGGTGCCGCGGGGCGGTGACACGCCTGTCCCTGTGCAGCGCAGAGGGACACGTGGTGGTGATTCGGGGTGCCGCTTCCATCGGCATCCCCGGGACGCGTTCCCACCCGTGCCGTGAGTTTGCCAGCTCTCTGCTCGGGACAGCGTGGAGCGCCCCCGGGGCAGCCGGGACCCGGTTGCCGCCGGGGTGTTTGGCCGAATTATCGCCTGTTGTGCCCAGATAAGAGCGGGCAGAGCGGCAGCGCGCACCCCCCAGCCCTCCCCGCCGATCCGCGGCGGAGAACCTTGGCCCGTTCCGCCGGGAAACTCCTTCGGCAAACAAGCGCTGCCGAACCGGATTCCCCCACTCTGCTCCCGTCCTCCCCCCAGGCACCCGGATCATCTACGACCGCAAGTTCCTGCTGGACCGCCGCAACTCCCCCATGGCCAAGACCCCGCCTTGTCACCTCCCCAATATCCCCGGCGTCACCAGCCCCGGCGAGCCCGGCGAGGAGCCCAAAGCGGACGCCAACAGCTTGAACCACCAGGAGGGCAAGCCATCCATGGGTAAGGGATCCCCGGGCGGGACAGGAGGGATTTGGGGGGAAGGTTGACGCCCCTAACACTGCTTCCATGGGTAAGGGACCCCCGGGGCGGGGCAGGAGGGATTTGGGGGGAAGGATGACGCCCCTAACGCTGTCCTCCTTGCCTCTTGCCAGGGGACGAAGCTCAGTTCGAGATGGATATCTGAGCGGGAACCACGGAGAGGCAGCGACTCCCCAGCCCTGTGCACCCCCATTCGGCTTAGCAGGATCCATCCCAGCGAGGTGGAGGTGGCAGTGGTCCCCACCAGCGTCCCCTCCCCGCCCTCCTCCTCCCCCTCTTTTTTGGGGGGAGTGCAGCTCTGTCTTCTCCCCCTTTGCGGGTGAGCGGTCCCAGCATGTGCCAGACGGAGCATCCCTTCTGGATCCGGCCCTATTCCTCCTCTTCCACCTGCCAGCAGCCTGATCTCCACCAGGCTTCTTTTTAAAACATCCCTTTGCCTCTTCTGCTGCCTCGTGCCCCCACAAAATTCCCCTCTCTTGTTACCCAAACCTCCCATGGCCAGCAGCTTGGTGTTCTGGAGCTGTGTCACCCCCTTTGCCACCTTCTCCTGGAAAATTTGGGCAGCCTGTCGGGAGGAGGGGGAAACATCACTCCTAAAATCATGCACCTGCTTGCACCCTGGGGAGGGTATTTTTTGAGTTTCCCTGGGGTGTGTTGGCATTCAGCAAAGGACAGCACTGGGAACCCGTTCCCTTCGGTGCTCCAGGGGTTCGATGTAGTCCCTGGTGGAATCAGCCAGCATGTCCACATCTCTCCTACGTGGATTTCTTCCATCTTGGCCCTCCAGCCAGGGGCAGTGTCCCCCACCCACCAGCCAGGACTCACAGCAATGTAGCCATATTTTATAAAACCCCCTTGCTTTTATTTTTGGTACTAAAAAGGGGCGCTTCAACCCCAACGACTTTGTCTGGGCTGGGGCCGAGTGCCTCTGGGAAAGTGCTTTGTAGTGCTCGGGATTTTTTACCCCCCAGCCCTTTAAAATGTGAATCCTACAGGGGGGAGATCCCTCTGGCACCGTTGGATGTCTCAGGAATCGCTGGGTGTCCCTGGGGGCTGTGGGGGCTCGCCAGACACCGCAGGGATGGGGCGCTCTCCTGGCAGGGCGCTGCCATCGATGCCACCCTCAGTTCTCAGGGTGGCATTTCTCCCAGCTGGATCATGCTGTCGTGGATAAAGCATTTCCACATCAACCTCCCCTTGGCCAGCCTGGCACGGCATGGCCATCTCAAACCTCCCCTGGAGATGGGGTTTTTTTTTCCCCCCTCTCTCCGTGTGACTCTTGCCCTGACCAGCAGCGCTGGGCACGGCTGCGCCCCCCAATCCCACCAGCCCCCCAGTTCTGATTTTTTACTGCCTGTTGGGAGCCATCACCAGCTCTGCAACCTTCTCAAGTGCCATTTTATCAGCCCCCACCTGAGTGCCTGCTCCATCCATCGTCCCTCCCTCGCTGGGGTCACCCCACACCTCGTTACCCGTGCTGGGGAGGGGGACACCCCACAGGCTTTGTGCACTTTCCATCCCGTAATTTATTTCTCTAGGTGTGTTTGGCACGGCGCTGGTGGCCAGCTCCCATCTTCCAGCTGCTTTTCTCACAGGGAGGGGGGGCTGCCCCTCGTTTTGGGGGTGGGGGAGGAAGAAGCAGAAGCACAGCCCCAGGGAATGGGGTTGTCTTTGCCATCCTTTCCCTGGCGTGGGAGGTGAGGTGAGCGCGGCAGCCGTGGGCGCACGAGTGAGTGAGTGCGAGTAGCAATGCGTGTGGGTGGGTGGGTGGTGATGAGACACACACAAATATATATTATATATATAAATAAATATATATTTTCCTTGAAGCCAAGATCCTAGGAGGTCGGTTAGGCCCTCGGATCGAGGGAGGGGCAGGGGGCAAGGACATCCTTGGCAGAGGATGCAGGGAGCTGGCGCCCTCAAGCACAGCTGCTCCTTTTGGGAAAAACCTGCTCTGCTAGCCAAAAACAATCAGACCATATCCAAGGACAACGTGACTAGATGGACAGGAGCCGGAGGGAAACCTTTTTTGTTGTTTTTTTTTTTTTTTTTTTTCTCTAAATGCCCCCTTTCCCAACCTCCCTGTGTCTCTGTTCCCCATCCCAGCAACTTTTCTGCCCAAAGGTTCCCTTTTGTAAGCAGGCTGGGGGCTGAGCAGGGAGGGAGTGCCTGGCCTCGCCGGGGTGTTCCTCTGCTAGTCAGGGGCTCCGTTTGGGATTTCTGTTGTTTTGTACCGTCTCTTCAAGCAGGTGTTTGGGAGGAGAAAAGCTCTCGCCAGTGGTTGCTGTTACAGTGAGATCAATAAAGATTTTGGTTCTACTAAATCAAGGTGATTTGGACTATGATTCAGGGGGTGAAGAGGGTTTTCCCTTCCCTTTGGAGCAAAATCCCCTCATGGGCTCTCTCCCAGTCATGCCCAGAGAGCAGGGAAGGGTCAAAGCCAGAACCAGTAACCAAGGGTGAAATTGCAAAATGTCACATGCAGAGAAACCTGATTTTCCCATAGGTCTCCCATGTGCAGAACGGCCCCAAACTGATCACTTGTCCTGGTCTCATCCCTGGAAGTCTTCAAGGACTTTTTGGATGGGATTTGGAGCAACATGGTCTGGTGGAAGG